TTTTCGACTGTGCAAGGCAGGGTAGTTGGCATCCCTAATCCCGGCATTGTTCAAGGGTCAACTGCACTCTCATTCCATATCCTTTCTTATATAACTTTGTGTTTTACTGTAAGTTAGGAGTTGCTTTGTTTTTTCATTTGCTTGCTTATCTTGAAAGTCTGACCAAGTCTTCCAACATCCTTCAGTAGCTCTGTGATACTCCTTTTCCTCTCCCCACCCCCCTCCCAGTAATCTCTACACCCTATGTGGGGCTCAAACTTATGGCCCTGAGATCAAGAGTTGCATGCTCTTCTGACTAAGCCAGCCAGGTGCCCCTGTGATACTCCTTTTAATACAATTTCCCCCAGATTCAAATCCATCAGGTTTTTTTTTTTTTTTTTTTTTTTTACCAGTTTTACTGTTTTTCCTGGGGATATCCCTCCTGGCCTTCTGTCCAGCATACACTGGTTGCTCCCCAGCCCTGTAGCACAGCTACCATCCCAGCACTTCCCCTCACCATCATCTTTAGAATTCCCTGTGTCTGTTTCCTGTGTTGGATCCTGTTCCCAGATCCCATGTCTTCTTCATTCTTAAGTTACTCTCTCATCCTAGTGGGACACACTTCTCAATAGCTTTTTGAATTTTTTGAGTGTCTGCTGGTCTGTACATGTCTTTACTCTGCCCATGCACTAGACTGATAGCCTGGCTGAATGTGTCAGTCAGGATGGGTTATGTTATAGTGAGATAACAAACAACTCCAAAATCTCAGTGGTTTAAAATAATAAAGTTTTTGGGGTTCCTGGGTGACTCAGTCAGTTAAGCATACGACTCTTGATTTTGGCTCAGGTCATGATCTCATGGTTCACAGGATTGAGCCCCATGTCAGGCTTAGTGCTGACAGTGCAAAGCCTGCTTGGGATTCTCTCTCTCCCTCTCTCTCTGTCCCTCCCCTGCTCATGCACGTGCACTCTTTCTCTCTCTCTCAAAATAAATGTTTTTAAAAAATAAAGTTTTTTATAGCAGATTTACTGATATATAATTCACATACCACAAATCCAGGCTTTTAAACTGTAACATTCAGGTTTTTAATATATTCACAATGTTGTGGGACTATCACCACTAATTCCAGAATATTCCATCACCCTAAAGAGAAATCTCATCTCCATTAGCAGTCAGTCCCCATTTTCCCCTTCCCCTAACCTCTGGAAACATGTATCCACTTTTTTTGTCTATGGATTTGCCTGTTCTGGACGTTTCACATAAATGGAATTGTACAATACGTGGCCTTTTTTGACTGGCTTCTTTAACTGAGTGTAATGTTTTCAGGGTTCATCCATGTTGTGACATGTATCAGTACTTCACTCCTTTTTATGGCTTAATAAATCCACTGTATAGATATATCACATTTTATATATCCATTCACCAGTTTATGGACATTTAGGTTGTTAACACTTTTTAGCTATTATAAATAATGCTGCTCTGAACACTTGTATACTTGTTTTTATGTGTACATATGTTTTCAATTCTCTTGAGTATACCTGTAAGAATGGAATTACCATTATGTTTAACTTTCTAAGGAACTGTCAGACTGTTTTCCAAAGTGGCTGCATTATTTTGCAATCCAGCCAGTAATGATGAGGATTTAAATTTATCCACATACTTGCCAACACTTTTTATCATTTTTTAAAAAAGGAGTCTTGGGGCACCTGGGTGGCTTAGTCGGTTAAGCATCCAACTTCGGCTCAGGTCATGATCTCATGGTTCTTGGGTTCGAGCCCCACGTGGGCTCTGTGCTGACAGCGCAGAGCCTGGAGCCTGCTTCAGATTCTACGTCTCCCTCTCGCTCTGCCCCTCCTCAGTTTATGCTTTGTCTCTCTCTCTCAAAAATGAATAAATGTTGGGGCGCCTGGGTGGCGCAGTCGGTTAAGCGTCCGACTTCAACCAGGTCACGATCTCACGGTCCGTGAGTTCGAGCCCCGCGTCGGGCTCTGGCCTGATGGCTCAGAGCCTGGAGCCTGTTTCCGATTCTGTGTCTCCCTCTCTCTCTGCCCCTCGCCCGTTCATGCTCTGTCTCTCTCTGTCCCAAAAATAAATAAATGTTGAAAAAAAAAATTAAAAAAAAAAATGAATAAATGTTAAAAAAATTATAATAATAATAAAAAAAGTAATCTCTCTGTCCAACACGGGGCTTGAATTCACAACCTTAAGATCAGGACTCTCACAATCTACCGACTGAGTCAGCCAGGTACTCCTTACCATGTTTTTGTTGTCACTGTTGACTTTTTAGCCATCCTAGTGGATATGAAGTAGTAAAGATTTATTTTTCAACTCAAACCATGTCTCTTGCCTTGGTGTCCTGCTGTCTGTCAACCAATACATAGACCATTAGTCAACACAGAAACCACGCCCTATGTCCTGGGCTATGTTCTCTGCTGAAGGATATAAAGAAGGTTAATGCCCGTGACTTTGAGGATCTACTCTTTATTTACCAAATACAGGAAAGTTAACACAAGGCAGTCTATGGTCAGTACCAAAATTCTTACTGGGACAACTAGGGCCCTGCAGGTTCTGGCTTATGTCTCTCTCCAACTTTGTCTCTTTTCACCTGTTTCCTACTTGTACTGTTCTCACCTTTTTTTTTTTTCCCCCTTTAATGTTATCAAGTTTCTTTCTGCCTCAGAGCCTTTTTCCCCCCTGTTCTTTCTCCTGGAGATCTTCTCTCCCAACACATACGACATTACCTCATTCTCTTGGTTTCAGCTTCATTGTTACCTTCACAAGGACAACTTTCCCATCACCCAAGCCAAGGCTGGCTCACTGTTCTATATGCTCATCACCTTGCTCTTTATCTAATCACAGTAGGCATGGTGGGGAGTGGAGCTGTGAGGGATTAAATGCCTAGGTTCTGGAGCCAGACTGTCTGGGTTCCAGTTCTGCCTTTGATACTTACTAGCTGTGTAACATCAGGCAAAATACTTTACCTCGCTTTGGATACAACTATAATAGAACCTAGCATATAAAGCCATTGAGAGGGTTAAAAGAAAAAAGTCATTTATGTCAACTGGGACTTGTTTGGTATTCTTTAAATGCTAGCCCTTATTTTCACAGTTATAAATTTAACAATTTTTTTATGTAGATTAAAAAGAAGCATGCCTCATCAGTGCTGTATCCTCAGCACCTAGCACAGTACCTATCACATAGTAGGAATTTAATAAATATTTGTGAGTGAATGAAGGCCAAGTGTATCCCACAGGATATCAGAGGAAGGAAAGGCATTTTAGGGAGGAGATGGCCAACCCCAATCAATTGGTAGTGACATTCTGGAGTCCTGTGTGGAGAAATGATTTTGAAGTTGCATGTGGGTTCACAGTGGGCTGTAATTGATTAAACATGTCTGCCAAGGCACTGGAAACAAAACAAAACAAAACAAAACCCCTGCAAAGTAAGCACTAAGGTTTTGACATCTCTGCTATAGAGAATACTCACTATCCTATTGGAAACAGTCTGGAATTGTGAAATGACCACAGTTTGCCTCCTTTGTCTCAACTGCTTCCCCACTCCCTGACCTTCCATCTTTCCCCTGGGCACTCTGGGCTCTGTGTTGCATTCATTGTAAAGGCCTTCTGCTGCATTGTGTTTCTTTATTTGGGCTGCTCTCTGCACCTATTTCCATCAGCTTTACTTCAGCTGTCTCACTCCTGCTCTGATAGGCAACGAAAATGAGTTGAACCAATCCACTAAAGACCCTAAGATGACTGGACTTGACTCTTGATTGTGTTTTCCATTCCATTTAACCTGCAGTTAAATCTAGCCTGGGGGTGGGGTGTGTGTGTGTGTGTGTGTGTGTGTGTGTGTGTGTGTGTGTGTGGTATAGGGCTGGGTAACCATGCCATGGTGGAGAGCAGGGGAGCGGGCGGCCAAGGAGGCCTAGTGAAGTGGACCAGAGTGAGGGCATATGCACACTCCATGCCTGCCACACTGGAAAGTGAGTCCAGTGCTGCCACAGCCTCCAACTTTCCAAGAGAACCCAGAAATCTGGATTTTTACATGAAATCTCCCTAGTTTCAAATGTTTGCAATTAAATAAATTTTAAAGAAAGCAATGGGTAGACCAAAGAAAATGGTGTTGGGCTGTACTTGGCCCATTTGCTATCCCTGAGTCTGCCCTTACTAACCTTTCCAATCCCTCTGCAATGGCCTGGTCCTTCAGAATCCAGCCTTCCGTGACTTCCCCTTCATGACACCAGCTCAATCCTTTCGTCAGAAATCTTTCTTTTTGTAGAACACTCTGGGGGTCCCTCACGGTAATTAGCATCGTGAGATCTGCTTGTGTTCCTGCCAGGTACCAGGCATTCCCCATTTCATTCTCTCAGCCGCCCAGTGAAGTATTTGCACATTTAGAGATGGTGGGGGAGGCGGATGGGACGCTGAGCTCTTGCTGGGGTCATAAAGCCAAAGAGTTAAGTGTTGGCGCTGAGTTCCAACCCCTCAAGTCTGGTCTCTACCTTTTATGGCACTGCCTCCTTAAACTCCTCAGCCGCAGGGCCGTGGTGTCGTCGCCTCGGGACTCAGTACTGACTCTGCCTGCGAGACTCGCGGGCCTCCTGCCTTTTCTCTTCCCGCCTTTTGGCCGCAGCCTTTCCCTCTCCGGGTTTTCTCGCTCACCGCCCTTCTCAGGCGAAAATCCTCTTCCGCGCTTTGCGGAGAGCCGGGCGTGGAGGCGGTAACGCGCACGCGCGCAGGGATCCGGCCCGGGCCGAGCGCGCGGCCCGGCGATTGCGGGTGAGGGAAGGGCCGGGGCCGGCGCCGGCGGGATGGCCGGTCCGGGGGTGGGGGAAGGGGGTCTCGGGGCGGGGCGGGCGGGGACCTCGGCGAAGGCTTCAGGACTCCCTGGGCATGCGGCGACCGGAGGCCAGAGCCCGGGGCGGGGCCGCTGTGGTCGGACGGGCGCGTTGGGCCGGGGGAGGACTTGGGCCGCCTTGACGCGGGCGCCCAGCCGGTCCGGGGCCCGTGACGCGGGCGGGAGGCGGGTGCGAGGCGGCTCCTCCTCGTCGCGAACTCTCGGTGACCTTGGCCAAGTCACTTCATTCCCCCCTCCCGAGCCGGCGCCTTCGTCTGTAAAGTGCGAATTATAAGCCCTGCCTACTAGATGGGGCGTTTTAAGGTTCGGTGGCGAGACCTCGGCGGAGTACGTGGAGTACCGGGCGGTTTGCCGGGGACTGCCCACCCTGGGGCGGGGGAGAGGGGCCTTCCTGGGACAGCGTTTTGTTGCAGCCTTTGGGCAGGAGTTCTCCTTTGGAGATTTTAGAGACTCCAGAGAATTACGAAATAGTTGCAAAACTTTTAACGTAAGAAAGAAACTTGAAGGGCTTCCTTGAGGCCCACGTTGCCCTGCTGTTAGGAGGGTGCTCACGCCCTGGCGGTGCAGACGCGAGGGTGCTCACGCCCTGGCCGTGGAGACGCTCCGAGAAGATTTAGAAAATCGTGTGGAGCAGCCGAGCGAGCGACACCCTTAGCTTTGGAAGAATTGTTTGTGATTTCTGTTGTTTGCCAAAACCCTGTATGGGATTTATGGTGCTGGCCAAGCAAGTTTAGTATGTTCCATGTGAGGCCTTTGTGAACAGTGGATTTAGTCATCTTTACAGTAAACGGATTTTGTAGAGATTGAGTATGGAGGGTCCTAATGGTGCCAAAAGCCTTTTTGATTGGTGGTGTGGGATCTCAGGAGCCCTCCCTATGGTGGGCAAAGGTCTGCGGTGTAATGGACACTCCATTTTTGAACGATAGGTCACAAAAGAAGCGTATTAGATATTCTAGGTTGGAAGACGTTTATAGAGTCTTTGAACTGACTTAAACTGAAACTTCTCACTGCAGGTGACTAGTATGCAGATACCCATTCTCTGACTTGCTGGCCCTCTACTGACATGGCCCACCGGGGTGGGGAGAGGGACTTCCAGACTTCAGCCCGGCGCATGGGCACCTCGCTGCTCTTCCAGCTTTCAGTGCACGAGCGGGAGCTGGACCTGGTTTTTCTGGATCATAGCTATGCCAAGCCATGGAGTGCCCACCCAGATGCCAGTAGTGCTCGCCCCACCCGCATGCTCTTTGTGACTCCCCGGAGGCAACATGAAAGTAACATGTGAGTTTGGGCTTCTCTCCTAAGGGCTGCTGTTGCCTTAATTGGGCAGTAATCAGATGGTGGAGATTAGAGAGAATTTTATTGTGGAAGCTTGTATCGGGGGCCTTGGATACTTACTTCAGTCATCTCTGTTAAGCAGTGTGGGGATATCAGGCCTATATGTAGACCTTTGCATTCAAGACATCTAACAAATTAGGAAAGCAAACAACATCTACATAATATGGTATATAATATAGGTATCTATAATAGGACTTATATGGAAAGAGTGAAGAAAAAGGCTGAAGAGTTATTACCACTCAGGATTAGACTCATTCCCTTTAGTCTGGTGTTCTGGCTTGTTCCAACACTGGCAGCAATAACCTTTTTATGGTGATGTGATTTCCTTTTGCTGGCTTCACCCAGCAAAGTTTAGGAGCATATTCCAAGACCTTGCTTTCTCTCTTAGCTTGTCACCACCCATGGGTGCTAGGTCTGATTATATTTTCAACTGGACGACATTATAGGGTAAGGACTTTTTTCATAAACTTACTGTGTAATATTCATACAGTTACATTTGGCCTAAATAAACTTGTTTAGCAGTTCTTTTGAGCTTTAAGGTATGGTATTCGAATTCTATTTCCAAATTGGTTGATATATTCTATTTTGATGATCAAATCATGGCCTTAATAATTTTATAAACTTTTGGGGGGAAGAGACTTTTTTTTCTTTGTTTTACTCTGATTCAATGTCTAATCTTTACCACAGATTTTAGGTTTGTTGGTGAATAGAGATCTTGGATTTTGCTTCTTTATATCTCTCATTGAGCCTTAATGAGCTAGAGGTACCATGATGTGTGTGTTTTAAACAGTGTAGAATAGTGGTTTTATTTCATTTCCCAGTGAAGGCAGCATTTTGTTAGCTCTTTTAGTTGTACAGGGCGGGGGATTTGTGACTTTTAGGGATAATCCAGCATAATCTTGCCTCTGGCCTAGGGCATAACTGAAGAGCTCTTTTAAAGCTTCTTGTTAACGTTGAAACTCCTATGGTCAGATCTCATGATATTTTCTTTAAGTGACATTCTGTGGACTTGCTCATTTCAGTGCTTAGAAAATTATTTCCTCTTATAAGCCATCTCCACATACAGGTCCTGAAAGTGGGAATTTAGCATGTTTTATGGACTCTTTTTAAGTCATTGTGCCTAGAATATGGTTATAGTGAGGGTGTTCGTGGGAGCTAGGGGAGAAGTAGGCACAGACTACCTCGTGTAAGAATTTGATGAGTGATAAGAAGTCACTGAAGGATTTTAAGCTAGAGATTGGATTTATATTTTTAAAAAATCGCTTTGAATTTTTATTGAATAGATACAGTTCAGAAGTGGAAATAGAGAAGGCTTGCTAGGAGACTATTGTAGTAGTGGGGGCCAGAGATTGTGACAGGTTGGATAGGGGCAGGAATAGTACAGATGGAGAAAAAGGATGGCCTTGAGATATATTTCATAGGTAGAGCCAACAGGACCTGCTGTGGTGAGTTGGAAAGATGGCCCAGGACTGAAGGGAAAGGTGAAATTAGGATGACTCAGATTTTTGGCTTAAGTAGCTGGGTGGTGCTATGAGTTGGGGACTGGGGGCTTGGAGGATAGGTTTGGAATTGTGAAATCCAGAGTTCCTTTTTAGACATACAAGTCTAAGTGCCTTGCCCAGTGTCTGGTCCAGAGAAGATAATCAGCTCTTTCACCCACCACCCAATCTAGCTGCACATTATTTCACTTCATTTCATAATGATGTAGTTATTCCAGCTATTGGGAATGGGTGTCATTAAGATCATTGGGGTCAGAAAGTTGAAGTGATGTTTGGTAGACAGCCAATAGACAATTTTTATTGGTATAGTATTTTGGGTGACTAAGTTGGTACAGCGAAGAGCCCTTATGGCACTAGGATTTCATTAACATTTTAAAATATGAAAGACCCATCACATGTCCATTTCTATTTGTTTCTGTTCTAGGCTTCTTACACAATGAGTTAAATAACTAAGGTGTCTACATTCCAGGCGATCTGTCTTAGACAATCATAGACTTTTACAGCCTATAATTAACTACGGGTTGACTTGCTAACGAAAGGGAAAGTATGTAAGAATAATTTAAAACTCTAGACTAGCACTGTCCAACAGAACTCTCAGCAATGAAAAAATGCTCTGTATCTGTGCTATCTAACATAGTAGCAGCTAGCCACATCTGTCTGTTGAACACTTGAAATGTGGCTAGTGCAACTGAGGCACTGAATTTTTAATTCTGTTTAATTTTTATTTAAACAGTTGAATGTGGCTTATAGCTACTGTATTGGAAAGCACATCTAGGTGCAAATAGAATATATTTGTCTTTTAAAAACTACAGGTGTTTGTTATTTTTTGTATGGACTCACTTAAAAATGACTTTGTGTTCCCCCAGCACATAACAGCATGTCAGAGATCTAGACAAGTGTGGGAAAGATGACTTTGGATCATAATTTTCTTGTGGGTATACTATGCTTATACATACTTTAAAAATGATTATATTAAAGAGTCATTTTTTGGCAACCAGATGATCGTTAAAACACCTGTGTTGTGTGAAGTACGTGTGGCCTGGTCCTATTTCCTCACCTGTTTACAGTGAATCAGACGTCCCAATAGATGTGGAGACAGTCACATCAACCCCTGTGCCGCTCTACGACAATCAGAAGGCACGCAGTGTGATGAACGAGTGTGAACGGCATGTCATCTTTGCCAGGACCGATGCAGATGCTCCTCCTCCACCAGAAGACTGGGAGGAGCATGTCAACAGGTAGGCCGCTGCTCGGGAGGACTGGTCACTACAGGGTTAATAGTCATCACATTGTAAATATTTTGTATTATCATCTTCATTGAAACACATCTGTTAGGAGCTTATTTCATTTGCAGCCACACAAGTCAGAATGTTTTCTTTTTTGTTGTTTATTTTAGAGAGAGAGAGAGCACATGTGCACAAGAGCACACACAAGTGGGGGACGGGCATAAAGAGAGGGGAACAGAGGATCTGAAGAGGGCAAATCAGAATGTTTTCTTAACTCTCTGTGTTATAACTCTCAGCTCAAGATGCAGTGAGGTGCTTGAGGAGGGCTTGCATCTTACCCATCTTTGCATCCCTGACACCTAGGACACTGCCTGGCACATAGTAGGCATATAATAAATGTTTATTGAATAAGTAAATGAATCAAATATGATAGGTATGACTAGTTCTGTATTTTCCATAGTACAGGTTTTATATGATATGGGACTACAAACAAACCATTAAATAAGAGTACATTTGTACGATACTGTACTTATATGGTCTATAACTAGAGTAATGAAAATGTTTTGGAGTTGCTTGAAAAGCTAACAGATGTTTGATTTGCATGGCTTTTAAAAATAGTTTTGCAATCTGGTTTTCAGGGAACACTTCAGCCCATTTTCATGAGTTTATTAGCTGATTTTATTCCCATGCTTCCTACTGACCCAGGGGACTCCACTCTTCTCCAGCTCATTTGTCATTGTTTCTTTAGCATACTTTGTTCTACATTTTTTTAATGTTTTATTATTTACTTTTGAGAAAGAGACAGAGTGTGAATGTGGGAGGGTCAGAGAGAGAGGGAGACACAGAATCTGAAGCAGGCTCCAGGCTCTGCGCTATCAGCACAGAGCCTGACACAGGGCTCGTACTCACAAGCTGTGAGGTCATGACCTGAGCTAAAATTGGATGCTTAGTGGACTGAGCCACCCAGGTGCCCCTAGCATACTTTTTTTTTTAAGTTTATTTATTTATTTATTAGAAAGAGAAGGTGCAAGTCAGGGAGGGTCAGAGAGAGGGAAAGAGAGAATCCCAAACAGGTTCCACACTGTCAATGCAGAGCCCGATGGGTTTGAACCCATGAACTGTAAGATCATGACTTGAGCTGAAGTTGGATGCTTAACTGACTGAGCCACTCAGGTGCCCCTCCTTTAGCGTTTGTTTATTTTTTACTTACTGCATGATAGTGTTATGAAGATAAAATTTATGTACCATACAAATCACCTATTTAATGTGTACAAACAGTGGTTTTTACTTTATGCACCACCACAATTTGGTGAACATTTTTGTCATCCACAAAAGAAACTGTACCCATTAACAGTCACTTCCATTTCTTCTCAACCCCTTCAAGCCCTGACAACCTCCAGTCTACTTTCTGTCTCTCTAAATTTGCCTACTCTGGATGTTTCATATAAATGGAACCATATAGTATGTGGCCTTTTGTGTCTGTCACTTAGCATAATATTTTCAAGATTCATTCATGTTGTAGCACCAGTTAATACTTCATTCCCTTTTATTGCTGAAATTCCATTGTGTGGATATACCACATTTTGTTTATCCATTCGTCACTGATGGATATTTGGGTTGCTAACATTTTTTGACTATTTTGAATAATGTTGCTATGAACATTCATGTACTTATTTTTTTGTGGACATATGTTTTCAGTTCTCTTGCATATATACCTAGGAGTGGAATTGCTGGGTCATATGGTATCTTTTTAACTTTTGAGGAATTTCAGATCATTTTCTTTTAAAAAATTGTTTTTAATCCTCAAATCAGTTTTCTAGGTGTGCAGGATGGTTTAGTGTTGATCTGGCTATTTCATGGACACGAGACACAAAAAAAACTTCCGTGCTGTTCTGCCATCTTGGCTCCTCTTTTTAAAAAATTTTTAAAAATGTTTATTTTTGAGAGACACACACACACACACACACACACACACACACACACACACACACACACAGAATGCGAGCGGGGGAGGGACAGAGAGAGGGAGACACAGAATCCGAAGCAGGCTCCAGGCTCTGAGCTGTCAGCACAGAGCCTGACGCGGGGCTCGAACTCACAGACTGCAAGATCATGACCTGAGCCGAAGTCGGACGCTCTACTGACTGAGCCACACAGGCGCCCCTCCTCAGACCGTTTTCTAAAGGGGCTACACCATATTACATTCCCACCAGCAGTGTGTGAGAGTTCCAGTATTTTCACATGTTGGCTAGTACTAGTACTGTCTGCCTTTTTTATTTTTATTATTATTCTAGTGGATGTGAAGTGACATCTCATTGTGGTTTTAATTTGCATTTCCCTGATGGCTCTATCTCTATTTATCTACTATGTGTAAGGGAATGTTAAAATCTTTACATCAATAGTTGATAGGTAGTAAACTTGCCATAATGATGGAGATCTCTTGTTTTATAGTAAAGAGGAAGAGGTAGTTAGGAAGAAGGGTACAAAGGTTTGAGGCAATTGGCATGATTTATGAATCTGGTCAGAAACAGGGAATGAGATTGAACAGGTATACTTGTGTAAGCAAAGTAGTAGCTATTGTAAGAGGAGCCGTTCTGCACCTGGGTGAAGAGCTTGTGAAAAAGTTGTTTGGGGTCTTGAATTGGAATTAATGTTGTGCCCTAAGAAGGAGAAATGCTCTCCAGAGCTTCACCTAAACAGGGACACTTCTGCTGTAATTGAAGATCAATGACTGGAATATTACCAGAGTCAGTGAATTCAGCAAAATGGCTTATCACCATTGTTACAGTTAATAGTAATAAAAAAAATAGTGACAATGGTAGTAACAAAAAAGAACTACCATTTGTTGAGTGCTTCCTAGGTGCCAGGCATTGTGCCAAGCGCTTCATATGCATTACTTCTTTTAATCCTCACTATAATGCTCCGAGATATATCCCTTCTCCATCTCTCTTTTATAAGATGAAGAAACTGAGCCCAGGGAGTTTAAGAAACCTTAGTTTAGGAAGTGGTGGAGCAGAGATTTATCCAAAGCAAGCCATCTGAGTCCAGAGTTCAGTGTTTTTGGCTGTGTACCCTTTCTTTAAGGGCACATCTGTCAAAGAGACACCAGTTAGTGGTGGCTGAACAGGGTGGCCTCACACCATCCTTTTGTGGTGTTATTGGCTGCCTTGTCCTCAGTTTGCAATTTCTGAAACTGCATGGGAAAAATGCATGAAGTTTTTTTTATCTGTTCACCATGGTCGTGATCAAGAAGTTTTGGGGGACTCTTCAAACGTTACCAAAGTCATTAGAGACTTAATGCATGTGAATATCAGTTTCTTAATTTATAAGAAGAGAAATAACTTGCAAGGCAGATGAGATACGGGGGTGGCCTGGCCAGAGCATCGATTCTCAGTTGGAGTCTGGGAAGCTGTTCTGTTCCAGAAATGGGTGGTAAGTGGACATTTTGCTCTGGAAGCACCCTCCTTCAACAAGGCAGCTAGCACCCATCTTTCCTCAAAGCAGGATGGGCCCACAAAGTAGGCCAGGGTACATCTTCACCTGCCCGGTCCTGCAGAGAAACATTGACCGAGTCTTATCTTTGGCTTGTCTTTCTCCATGTGGATCTCCATCCTTCTGTTATGACATTGCCACAGATTGAAATGATTAATTAGCGCTCAGTTTATCTCAGATTATTTGTTTTTTAGTGTCTGATGAGATTTTGGAGGCGTCTTCTCATTAGCAACAGGCTTACAAACCATCTCTTCAGGTAGGTCACTTTTGCACATAGCTAATTTCATTATTTGATGATACTTACTGGCTTCAATTTCAGAGGTCACCATTTTATGACCTTGTACCTCCCCACCCTCACCCCCTGAATTCTGGATGTGTAGCCTGTGTAGAGCTTGCAGTTAGTTCCCTCTGCTCTGATTATAATCATCTTGTTTCCATTCTTTCCCTTGACTTGATTGTTAAATTGCTGCTTTTTTCTTCCTGTATAAAATCATGTAAAATTACCATTTCCCACATCAAGAACTCATGGGCTATAGGACAGCACTCTAGAAATCTGTTTTTCCTCAGAGCTTATTGATCTATCAGTAGAGTCAGAAACTTAATTTTTATTGTTAGTGCCCCTTTTCCCCCTTTTGAATTATTTTGGTAGAAACTACCTTTAGATAGCTTTCTGTGTATAGATAATTAGGGCCACCTCCCACCCCCAACTAACTCTTTCTCTAGTAAGGCCTGATATTTTGTGAAACAGTTTAAATATCCCTCTCTGCCTGATTTAATTGTCTAGATCAGGGGTTGGCACACTGTGGCCCTTGTACCAAATTTGACCTATTGCCTGTTTTTCTATGGCCCATGAGCTAAGAATGTTTTTTCCATTTTTAAGTGGTTGAAAAAAAGTCAAAAGACACGTGAAATTCAGATTTCTGTGTCCATAAATATAGTTCCGTTGGAACACAGTCATGCACGGTATTTAGATATTGTTCATAGCTGCTTTTGCACTATACCCACAGAGTTGCAAAGTGGTGACCCAGACCAAATGGCCCACAAACTCTGAAATAACAAAGTCCGTTATAACAAAGTTTGCTAACCTCTGGTTAGATCGTGTTCTTATATCTGCATGTCAAATTCATGTGACGTGGAGAACCTTTGAAAATGGTTTACATTTGCTGGTATAGCAATGTTGTCCTGAGGAAGTTGGACTGGCTTTTTTTTTTTTCTCCCAGATGTTTTGTCAAATACCAAGTTTAATTAGATGCACAGCTTTTGGAAGACATTTAACAAAATACTTCTGACACATATTTCTCAGCATTGCTCAAATGAATTTTAGGACATTTCCAACATTTCAGTAAAAGAATCTAGTGTCCTCAAGCAGGTTGTCTTATCTTAGAATTCAGAACTTCTGAATTCACCCAAAGGAAAATTGTTCCCCATTTAAAATTTGCTCTAATTATATTTCTCCATATTGTGTGTATCTATCTGTGTATTAACCTTAATTGGATGTTTGATATTTTGAGTCTAAGATC